TTTCATCTGCCAGAGATTTTGTGTTTGATTGATAGGACACTCTCCTGTATCTATTGCTTTTCATTGTCAAAATGGAAATAAAGAACATGCCTCCCTGAGGCCCTGCCAGCACCAAAAGAGAAGCCACCCCAGCAGGCCTAATCTCTTTGGTAGTCTCGCTGCCCTGACTAGAGCCAACCGGTTATAAGGCCAAGACCAGCAAACCTAAGACTGCCCTGATACTGGAGACTGACTGCATGAATGTTGAACTGCCACCCACTGCAGACTCCAAGGGGGAACTCTGATGCCATTCAAGTCAGCAAATAAGGTGAGGGTCAGTGCAAATGTGAGTCTCCGGTGACCCTGCCCAACCATTCACTGGTGTGCATGGCAGTGATGTACTGGGTGATCAGTAGGCTTGAAGTGATGCTTCATTCAGACTTCTCCAAACTAAGTGATTATCAAACTGACATGGAAGACTTAAAAACCTTTTTTTCTGGGATAATATTGTGGGTTTAAATGTTGTCGGCAGCTGTTAAAATGGCCTCTACCACAGATTACAATTTAATTGAAGTTTTTTCACCAGCAAAGTGAAGACCTCAGATCCCTAAACAACTTAATTTATAACATAACAATGTAAAAATGCTACGGATGTGACTTGAGATGAGATATTAGAAAAGGATTCACTAAAATGTGTCAAATCCTGCGATGGTAAATGAGACTTGAATCAGAACTGTTTTCACTAAGCAAAAACAAACAATGTACTTGTCAGGACCAAGGCATTAATTTAAGTGAGGTAAAATTACTGTAACTAAACAGAAAAGAGCAAAATCTGTTGAGCAGTTGTTTCAAGGTTTACATAATATATTTCAGTCTCTACAAATGTCTCTGTTGAAGCCATTTAAAAAGAAACAAAGCAATATTACATAAACAAGGATCTGAGGTCTTCAAAAATTATATTTTTCAAATCTCTATCAACAAATCTATGGAAAATTGGAAAGATTTTACTTGTTACAAATTGTTTGAATTTTCTCGTGCAGTTATGAAATTTACCAAATTACACAAATTTGACAGTGAATCAAATGTACAAGCCAGAAAGAAGGCAATTACAAACTGTACAAAGCAGTGAACTTAGCAATAAGAACTTAGCAATATAAAAGTACACAATATTAATGATCTAGAGGTGAAAKGTGACTCATTGAAGATGGGAAGAAACACCAAACCTCAGAAATACRAAGTCTATACTTGTGACTAGAAGTCAAAAGAGGATGTTATGCCTCTAGCTGTAACTGACAACTGCTTGAAGCTCAAATTGACTAAAAGAATGTTTGCTTTGACGTAACAGTGCACTTGTCTAGAAGTACACTTATCGGTTTTGCTCCCTAGAACACTAAAATTTCCTATATTTGGTGAATGATTACGCAGCCAAATATAGTTGTTGACATTATTACAGCGGCYCTTGCACTTGTCGAAAGTTTCTTTGCTGGTGAAAAAACTATATGCTAACAATAAAATAAACATAAATCTTTCTCTATTTGCCACCATTTCTTAGGACACTAAACAAATAAACGTGTCTTTCTATGAAGAACGTTTGCGATGTTTGGCAGTGATTTAAATAATTCAAAATGGCTTCTATGTTAATCAATTCAAAATGGCTTCCCAGCCTAATCAATTCAAAATGGCTTCCAGACTAATCAATTCAAAATGGCTTCCAGGCTAATCAATTCAAAATGGCTTCCAGGCTAATCAATTCAAAATGGCTTCCAGGCTAATCAATTCAAAATGGCTTCCAGGCTAATCAATTCAAAATGGCTTCCAGGCTAATCAATTCAAAATGGCTTC